AAGGTTGGACATATTTACATCACTCAGGTGATTAACTTATTTGAAGCCAACAGATGATATTAACCTAACCACAAAGTTTTGTTGCCTTAACCTCGATTATTTGACAATAGCCCTTTTTAAAAAGGAATTGTGCAAATTTGCAGGAAAGCCCAATCAGTCTTTTTTCAGCATTGGCAGTATAAAAATAAAATCAGGGACTGCAGCAAAATGCCGCCTGACTACTTTTGTTTATACAAAATGCACCTTTTTCGGGGCAATGGGGGGCGTGAGCAAGTAACAAAACGTGTAGCTCAGCGTGTGACGTAAACAGTGACGTGGGAGGGAAGCCGCGGCTGGTCAGTCCTTCGGCGATTCTCTCGTAAGTTGGCCCGTCCTTCACCGTCCGCGTCATTTGACGGTTAATGGCCTCTTCATTTGCGAGGACAAGGAGGGCGCGCTATTCCTTGTCTCCCCAGTTGCTCATCAGCGTCTTTCAGGTTTGCATTTCCCTCTTGCTACTAGCTGCTCATTCCTGCTACCAGCTGTTTACTGTTTATCCACTGCCAGTGGGTCGCATGTGCGGCGTCATCAACAGCTCCTCCCACAAGTCTTCAACAGCCCCTCCCGTGGTGGAAGGGCGCTGTATCTGACAACTGGGGGATGGTGGTCAAATAAGGGTACACCGTTGCAACTGTAACCACACCCAACAATTATGCCAAGGTGTACTAACACACCCTAAGGTAAACCTCTACATCACTGCAGCAAGATGAAAATTTAAACCTCTATTATTCTGCTGCAAGACCTTCAGCAAGTAAGGAGCTATACATTTAGGAGCTGCCTTCATTCACATTTTCATCTCTGTCTCATGGTTTATTTCTGGGTCAGTAACCATGATGATGCGTTCAGTTCCTGATTGCAGCAGGAAAATGTTCAGAATTTGGCACAACTACGATTTGTCTCTCAGGCTGGCTTCATGTTTACAGCACAGGCTCATGAATACTGTCACATTTAGAGTCATACCAAACCGGTGGCTCCCTGTGACCCAGGTGGGGCGCGCATCTGAAGCCACAGAAAAACAAAAGTGCACTTCACTGTGCACCTGACTGTGCATTACTTCTTGTGCTGTTGATACAATCAATGTGGGGATTATTGGGAGTGATGACAGGTCACAAAGTGTCTCACACTGTGGTCTGCGTTCTTGTTCTCAGGGTGCTCTTTGTGGACAACATTGCTATTTTGAGGAAACCCCGCCCCTGTCAGGGTAAATACAGGCTGTCAAAGCCTGCTGAGTGTAATTCTGTCCCCTGTCTTTGGACTCTGTGATTGCAGTCCTGCAGGTGGTAAAATGTCCAGATTACAGTCATTACTGTGAATTTGTTTAGATGTTTGAATGAGTCTTAAAATGTCTCCAACTTGTCAGTTACACTCCACCCCAGCAGAATTGGATTTATTTATATTTTTCGGACATCTCACTATGACTGAGATGAATTTTCACAGGCATAATTGTTGCACAATTTGCCAAGGAAATCCATAAATTAGAGCAAGGAATTGAGAAGACAGCGAGGAAGCTCACAGACTAAAGGAATCAGATGTGCGTCAACCGTAAGACGTTTAAAGAAAGCTGTATCTCAAACAGCCAGAGCTGGATTCTCTGTAAAAACCACAGAGCTTGTAAAACCCTGCAAAGGCCACAAAAACAACTGCAGAATGAAGTGATGAGACAAGTTTATTTCACCATCAATGTTTTTAGGGTGAATCAACAGCCAGCACCAAAAGCTGACGTTGTAAAGTACCTGCAGAGACAGTCCAGAGAGTCCATGATCAGCTTGTTTAGATGGATTTAGCCCAAATATCTTTGGATTTTGTCTACTATTAACAGCCATCATTAAATTGTCTTCTTCATGAAAAATCAAATGCCACTGAATCATTTTTGCTCAGGTGCTTGTATGTGGTTGTCTTGTCATATAATCCTTGTAGTGAGAAAGCATACATCACTTTCCCAGCTCATTCCATGAACAGTGGCAGTCAAAACTGATTTTCAAACAGCAACAGAGATGGTAGAATTGATGTTGGTTGCATCAGTCAGTGTAAGCCTCCAAAAAGGATCCGGTTGAAATGTGGGACTACTGGGTTTCTTTTAGAGTTTCATTTTGTTCCCAAATTTGTTCCCACAGTGGGATCGGGTGTTTGTTCTGTCACCATCAAAAGTTGTCATTTCTGAACGGTACCAAGCGTTAAAATTGTGGGTCTTACTTAATAGTAGCCATATGGGGGAAGATGCACAAGAGTGGCAGCACTCCACACAGGAAAAAGGAGCAACTTTTCATGATTACCGTGATATAGAATTGACCTTAAATTAACTAAAAGTAATGGCGAGCTCTGTGCAAGGTCGTTGTCATGGGAAGATGTTGCCAGGTCAACCTTTAATTGGCCAGTCAAGTGAGTGATGCTAATGGTAATGAGTGAATCAGCAGTGGAGAGCCAGCCCAGCTTGCTGAGGTTCAGGTAAGGCCTGCGTTCATTTAGCTCAGGCATGTCCAAAGTCTGGCCCAGGGGCCCGCAGACCAATTTAATCAGCCCTTGGCTTGACTCTCAAAATATACCATATGTGGCCCTTTACACAATAATGGTTAATCGAGCAAGATCACTTCACATTTTTACCCTTCACTTCACAATGATAGGACTATCGGACAGTTTGTAGACAGGCATCACATAGTAATAGTTCATTAAAAGATAAAAATGGTTGCATTTGTCTCTTTTTTTTTTTTTTCCCCCAACACATTTGATGCAAGAATCAGTTGGCCCCCAGGTATTTTCACGTTGTTTTATATGGCCCCCATTCAAAAAAGTTTGAACACCCCTGATTTAGCTTATGTTGAGGCCTGTTAGCTGGCCACAAGGCTTTGGGATACCTGAACCTAAACCTAGACCTAGAAATAAAGCATATGTCCAGTATCCAACCCAACTGCCAAGCACACGCACATGTTACATTTACATGTTATTATGTAGCAGATGAAACTGTACAGTATGTTTCAACAGTGCTGTGGTTAATGTGTGGTTTGGTTTAGGCATCCAAAAAAACCCAGTTATTGTTAGGAAAAGATCATGTTTTGGCTTTAAATACCTGGTTTTGCGGCCACTGGAAACACAGTAATGTCTCTGTAAAAAAAACAACCCATTTTTGTGCCACTATCTCGGCAGGAAATGCAGCTTTTTGAGGCACTATCTCTGTCGAAAGGTTACTTCAAAACACCAATGTTTGTGGACTAAAAAGCCATTGGAAAAACAGCCATGGCTTGCCAAAAAAACAGTCATGTTTGGGGGCTGAGAGGCCACAAAAATCACAGCAATAGGTACCTGAAAAACACCCAGGTATTGGGGCTGAAAAGCAGCAGGAAACCAGCAATAGGTCCCAACAAAATAACCCACATTGGTTGCGAAGAAAGCCCCTGGAAATAAAACAATGACTGGCAAAGAAACAACCATTGGTCTGCACCTGGGTGACACACCATCCACCACCTCCTGATGACAAAGTCAGCACTTCAGAAACGCTGATATGATACATAGTTAACATGCAAATATAACATTAATGGTTTGCAGAAACGTGCTTCTGGCAACTAGGCCACGTGTCCCACTATTTCACCACTGTGATGACCCTTGCAGAGTGCACTACATTGACAATATCATAAATGTTATTAAGTGCTATATTGTATGCAACAGACTTGCTTGAGTTGCAGTTGAGTCCAGTTGCCTACGATATAGCACTTAAAGGGATAGTGCATCCAAAAATGGAAATTCAGCCATTATCTACTCACCCATATGCCGATGGAGGCCCTGGTGAAGTTTTAGAGTCCTCACATCCCTTGCGGAGATCGGCGGGGTGAGCGGCAAACACAGCTAATGGCAGGCGGCGCCCCAAACTAACGTCCAAGAACACAAAATTGAATCCACAAAGTATCTCCATACTGCTCATCCATAGTGATCCAAGTGTGCTGTAGCCACGACATAAAAAGTTGATTCGAAAAACGTCATATGAACTCTGTTTTTAGCCTCACTGTAGCCTGTAGCTCTGACTGCTTCTCTGTGCTCTGCGCTCACGTGTGCGCGCCTGCACGAGACCAGCGGAAGCATAAGCTTTGCTCACCCGTGTATACGGACGGAACTTAGGCTACTGGACGAAGCAGCCGCCGCAGCTCATGAGCCTCAGCCAGCCGCAGAATACCAGAGTTGAGCACTGGAAACCTGGTGGTGTAGTTGTTTCAAATGCAAAGCAATGCCAACGGATGAGGAAAGTCTTTGCTGCTCACACTGGGAATTGGCGATGCCTGCACTTGAGAATCTGGACATCAGTACTGACGAGACTGCTGCTCTTCAGAGACCGTGCATCACCGATCACCCTGAGCGCGCACACGTGAACGCGGCGCACAGAGAAGCAGTCAGAGCTACAGGCTACAGTGAAGCTAAAAACAGAGTTCATATGATGTTTTTCGAAACAACTTTTTATGTCGGGGCTGCAGCACACTTGGATCACTACGGATGAGCAGTATGGAGATACTTTGTGGATTCAATTTTGTGTTCTTGGACGTTAGTCTGGGGCACCGTCTGCCATTAGGTGTGCTAGCCGCTGCCCCCGCCGATCTCCGCAAGGGATGTGAGGACTCTAAAACTTTACCAGGGCCTCCATCGTTTCATTTTTGGGTGCACTATCCCTTTAAGATTTCCATGACCTGGATGACTGAGAATCTTCACCAACATCATAAGTGTTTATGCTTAAATGTAAATCACATATTCATAGTTGAATAGAATGACCAGAATCAATATGTACGCAACTTCAAGTCCCAAGTAGCTCCAAAAACACTAGGGCATACACTTCCCATAATGCAACTTAATGACACCAGTGTATAATGCTGAAAAATATTGTTACACTGAGCATTTAATACTGCTGTTAACCAGTAATGTCGATGTGTCCCTTTTAATGCCAGTTACAATGCACTATATTCAGGTAAACAAGACATCACAGCTCCCATCTTTAGATGTTTATTTCTGATATCATCATCAAAATTTTTACAAAACATTTTCTGACAATAATATACTCAAAGAAGAGCCATATTTTTGCGCTTGGACCAGGTCTCCACAAAAATGCTTTAGGTCTGAATACAGTAAAAAGTAAAAATAACAAAAAAATAAACAAACGAACAAAAAAACAATTAATAAAAAAAAAGGAAAGAAAAAAATCAACAACAAACCAACTACCAAAGAAAACAGTGCAGCGCATATTTACACCCTACAGAAACCAATGCTCTCTGCAGGAAATGGATGAGAAGGAGACAGCGGGGTTCCCCCTGGTTTATATGGAAAGCATTTAAGTGGCAGCCAAACAAAAAAAAGGAAAAACAAAAAACAAAGGGAAAGTGTTTGAGCCTGCAAGGAAACAAAGACTAATTCTGATATTGTTTTCTATCAGTGTCTCTCTGATTTCCCTTTCACTGCACTCTCAAGCCAACTGCAGGAGTAAAATGCAGCCCATTTAAATAAAAACCTTCCTTTCTTCGGTGCTCACATTAAATCCAATTAGGGGCGTAAACGGGCTTTGTCAGACAAACGAAAAAGTGTGTTTCCCTGACAGAGGTTAATGATCATGCCTTCCCTTTCTGTGTCCCCTCTGACATGAGCAATGGCGGAAAAACAGAGCCAGGACAATGCGGGTCAGAGGTTAAAGACTTCCTGCTAATGTGAAACAGCATGGAACAATAACAATCAATGGGGACCGGGCTGGCCTGAACATCAGTAACGGTGATGTTGGTTCAGAGGAGGTAGAGGAGTAGGTGCTGCTATAGATACACACACACAGGCCATATGGGTACATGCGGGGTCGCTAACTTGCTAGCAAAGCCTCCAGTCTCTTTCTGCCTGACAGAGTTATTAATTCTTACCACTTTGCAGTCTGCGCACACACTAATGACACACTAACAAAAATAGAAACTCAAATTAGGAATCTAGAAGTGGCAGATGGGGAGCATTAGCTTGTTTCTTTTTTTTCTTCTTTTTCTTCTTCTTCTTGCTTCGCCCCCTATCCGTGTGAATACGTGCTGACTGTCTGGAGCCGTGACTGTGTTGTATGGGTATGCCCCGGCGATGCCTGTGGGTGAGACGCAGATGTATGGGAGAAGAAGAAAAGCTGCAACTCCACGTCTGGCTTGGAATTAATTTTTCAAATCTATTTATCAGGTAATGGATTAGAACCTACTGAACCGTCGCAGATGGCCTTGGGTGAGCTGAAATGGATGGGAGCGTCAAAACCTGCACTATTTTATTATCATTTATCAAGGCGTGTGTGTTGCCTGTTTGTAGGTTTTTGGTCTTTGTGTATATGTATTTATGCACGGTCGTTCTGTGGTTAAGGGCAGCCAAAATAGAATAGATTCTTGGTAACAGTGCAAATTAAAATGTCAACCAATTAAGGTGTTTGACTGTCTTTGTAAGTGTGCATGAATACTACATACAGTTTAGAAGATGCAATTTTGATTTTGCTTGTCATGAAAATCTACAGAATTCCTATGTGTGTGACTGATGTGTGTCTGAGCTTGGCTGAAGCAGTTAGTGTCATGTCTTGAAGTGGAAATAAAGCTGCCTGGGACATTCAGAGACATCACAAAGCTTTCATTGTAGCAGAATATGTCCTTGCACTTACCCATTCGTCCCTCTATATCCTCCCTATTGTACAGCGTCTCTGGCTCCCCCTCTCGCCTCCTCTGCTTTCTCTCTGTCCCCTCAGAGATTTGCATTGAGCTTTTCCTCTGCGCATTAACACTGAAATATGGAACTCTTCACTGCAATTCTTCAGACCTTTATTCACCCCCCCAGAAGCAAAAAAAGAAAAGAGGGGAGGAAAGGAAAGAGGAAAAAAAATATAGAAATGTTCCCAGTGGGGACTTGAGCCTAAACTCAAAGAGTGAAGGGAAGGACGGGGAGCTCGGGGTGTACAAAACCATAAACAAACAAAGCAGAAGAGAAAATAAAGCCTGTTGGCATTGCGGGGCTAGCGCAGACGGTCCTGGAGTTCAGCTCAAACATGCATCATTAGCATGCAGCGCCTGTGCTTCCAGCTCTCTGATGGCAAAAACGAAACGGACAAAAGACTAAATAATTACTGGCAGCAGGATTCGAACATTCCGCTGAACATATCCGATTTTATCAGGGAGGTAGTCATGATTAATCAATTGCTTATTAGTAGTTGATTTAATTGTGAACAGACAAAGATTTTAATAGCATTTTCTAATTACACATGAAGGGCAAAGTAGCTTTGATCATTGTGTTTAGACTGAATTGAACCATTATCACTGCTGAAAACTGAAGTAATTACTACACATGGGGTACTGGGCTTTAGCAAGAGACTATTAAAGGGAAAGTCTGTCCCCGGAGTGAGTGCCCAGCACAGGCCTCGTCTTCCGTTTAACAGCCTATATAGTGCCAGGGAATTCTACTTTAGGCGAGACGGGGGGCAGGGATGGGTCAGCAAACGAGTTGCTTTAAAAACCGAGAAGTTGTCCATGACACGTGCTGCTGGTTCTAGGGCACCCCAGACAGGAAATATCTCCCATACTGTTTGTCTCTGGTTCAGCGCTCCTCCCTAACTGGGCATAGTTTCCCAAAATATCAGCATGCGGACAGAAATAGAACATCATTAAACAGGTTCACCCGAGTCACCCAGAGGCAGACATGAAATTCAGGCCAAGGAGTTAGCAGGGGTGATATAGAGCAAGGCAAGACAATACATGGATAGAATTGAGAGAGCTCCCATTATAAAGACATCGGCACAGCTGCTATTACAAAGTAAACTCCACCAGCACTATTAAGCAACCGTACTGAGCGAATCAACTGCTTTTTATGCAATGTCCTGTACATGAAGGGGACTGAACCCCTTCTTAATCGTGAAACTATGAAGACTTTTGGGTCACTTGTTGTTTTGGGGCTGGTTTTTGGTAAAACATTTAACAAAATAATGGCACATCAAAAAAAGAACATCCTTCCCAAGTTAAACTCTTGGTGATAAAGAATAGCACACTTCTTCTCCCCGAGTAGACCTTGAAATGGCAGATAGTGTTGAGATTCTTGAAACAAGAGGGGTGGATTGGGATGTACTTAACAACACATCATACAGCCACCTCCTGCAAGATGAAACATGTCTGATGTCAGAACAGAAAATGTGGAACTCTATGAGGTTTGACGCTTGAAGTGTATCATAATATCAGGGTTTCCCAATCTTCCCTTCTTCCCATGATTCAGTAAAATGGTAGGATTCGAGAAATAACTTCAGTAACATAATCTGTGTGTAATGGTAGAATAGTGACGGGAGCAGATAGAAAAATATTTATCATTGAAACAACAGGAGCGTTACAGTAGGAACCTCTTCACCGAGTCATCTTGGTAACAGATTCCCACTGGAAAGTGAATAAGGCTCCTCTTCTGTTCACAAGCAGTTTGTGTTTCAGAAGAAGTGAAGTCCATACTTTTTTTTTTTCATCTTTAAAGATTCCCTATTTACACGATAAATAAGTTCTATTTGATTTTGTCCTTTGATTAGTCTTATAGAATTTCTTGACATCATCTTTGAACACCTCAAAAACTGTCTCTTATGATCCGAGCCAAAAAGACAAAATAACAAAAGAAAACCAAACAAAAAAAAATCCTATTTTTTTTCTTATCTTGAGGATACACCCACTTTCGTGAGAAAATTTGGCCCCTCGCTTTCATCTGTGGATCAATCAGTTGCGCCGTCGTGGGAGGACCAAGCACAGTTTGCACAACTCCCAAGAGTATGACCACTGACATGTAGAAAATGACCCCGGTTCAGCGCTTAGAGTAAGCCGGAGATGATATCTGACAGGCCATCACGGCCGTATCTGAAGTCCTCATCAGCTCCACAAGTCAATGACGAGCAGTGCTCGACACGGTGGCCAAAGGGTTACCAAGTGCAATAAAGTCCAGCACTGCAGGCACGCTTTCTGGAAAGAAAAAACGGAGATGTCAGGCAATATTCCCAGTACTGTCCATGGGTTCATACGCAGGTCAAAGAGAAGTCAACGTGCTGGTTCAACATGCCCCCACTAGGCACTGTTGTTCTCTGTGGTTGAGGGGAGAAGGGAGAGCACATGGCCGGAGCTTTGCCAGCCCAGCAAGATGGCGCTCTCCAAATTGTCCAGTGTGATCAAAGTCAAACATTGACTCAACAATGTTTCAAATGACTGTTTGGGGCAGTGAGAGTGGTTTGACCTTCAGTAAAGTGGACCTTTCCGTAAGAATATGTACAATACTTTGCATTCAAATGTACTTATTTTTACCACATAAATTCCCCATGATTACCTCTTTAAAGCATAGTGAATCATTCAGCTGGGATATAATCATATACAAAGACCTGCCATTCTGCTGTGTGAAGGGCCCCTGTATGTTCAAGGAACTTATGGATCATGCCATAGCATCTCCTCTAAAGTGTTTGTGTGGTTGTTTGCTGTTCGTAGCATCACCAAGAACATGAATGACAATTAAACTGATGTTCGGAGGACCAGGTAACTGTTGTGATAAATATCTAAAAATTTGCAGTTTCACTACTTCACTTGTATGTACCGTGTACTTTGCTAATCTGTACAGACAAGCTGAGTTCATCTGAAACCACCAGGGGATTTGGTTGCAATTGTGAATCTGAGTTGGCAGATGCTAGTTTAGTAGACCAACTGGCATTTTAAAAAATGCCCTTAGCTAAAGTAGCTTATGTGCATAAAAGAAAAAAGGAAAAGAAATACAAGTAAAACTCTTTGGTTTGACATGCACATTAATGGAATTCAGCATGAAGTACCACTCTAAAGAAACAAAAGAAAGTAAGAGAAAAGAGAATTCTATGAGGCTGTCTTGAGAGAATGACTCATCTTTATGAAATAATGATATGGATTTGCCTTTGTTAACAACTACTGACTAGATATTTTAATAATAGTCACAGTATGAAGCCCCTTGCTCTTCACATGATGTCCAGCTCCATCTCTTTTAGATTAATACTACTGCTCTCTCTTTTTGTGATCCAGAACTTGTGTTTATTGCACTTTCCCTTTCACTCCTGACTTAGTGCATATGGACTGCTGTGGTCAGATCCCCCTGTGATGGGATATGGCAAAGACCAGATCTAGAAACATGTAATATTTTTATTACCTCCCATGATTCAGTAGTAACAAGTTTAATATGAGGTGCTTTGGAAAAAACAAAAATCATAATCAAAATGATCTGCAAGGATGTCTCACCCTCTACTGTATATTAGTGAGACTGTGTGTTTCAGATGCCAAATCCCTCCAGGCAGAATTAGAAAAATTTGTCCTCTAGTTCACATACTCATGTTCTGAAAACAAGGCCCCACTGAATAACCAGCTCGCCTGCCCCTTCATTACAAAGTCACGGTGAATCAGAGGCCCTTGCCCCACTTCTAGCAACCAGACTTGGCTCGCTAGCGTCCAAATTTGAGCGTGCCGGTGCGTTCGGCGGTAGGAAAAGGATTGCCGCTGGGACCTTCAGTCGGTGGTCTGAGGGGTGGCGGAGGAGATCGAGGCCCTGGCACAGGGGCACCTATGCTGGCGGCAGAGGGCACGGCAGGCAGCGCCACTGTCTGTATAGTGCCCCTATCACACGGCCCCAGGTCCTCCAGGCCCTCCAGGCCCTGTGGGGGTCCCTCGTAGCCCATGTTGAGCCGCAGGGGTTGATGGGCCTGGCAGTAGTCTACGATAGGCTGTTCGTAGCGGTAGAAGGTCAGCGCACCCAACTGATGGGGGACCTGTTTAGACAGACAGAGAGCATGAAGGAAAAGACAGGAGGAGAATGTAATGGAGAGGATGAAGTCGGGGAAGTGGACACATGGGCAGGGTTGTACAAGAGTGAAGGAAATCCAGAGAGGAGAAGAAGGGAAAAAAGGGATAGAAAAAGAAAAACATCATTAGCTATACAGCGACAATGTCCTCTTGCAGCAGAGCTCATAAGACAGCTGACTGATGACCAAACCAATATGTTATTTCCATAGACTAGGAAAGTTAAACAAGTTTTTGCGGCTCCATAGACAATAAATGTTAGTTTTCTTTTTTTTTACCCACATGTTTCCTGATATTTTTGGACTGTCTTATGAATAACATGTATGGATTTTGAAAATGGGCATAATTCTCCCTCCAGTCAGTTAAAACTACAGAGTACTTTAAGCTCATGTTAAGGGTTGGGGAGACCTTTTGAAATTAGATTTTTATTTTCACCCAACTTCTGTTTACTTGACTGCTTTTTTTCAACCTGCTATCTATCCGTTTTGTTTGACATATAAAGGACACATTCAGAACAGTTACAAGGCTAAAAAGCTGAATTGCAAAATGTGTTACCACCAAAAAAAAAAAAAAAAAAGAAAGGTCCTATGATAATCCAGCTACGAAATAGTCAAGGGCTGCCCCCTGAAACTCAGAGATCTGAATCATCAGTCGCAGACCTCTGCTTCAGGTAGAGCACACATTTTAACTTGGTGTTTTGGTGCAGAGCAACCCGGGCTCACTCTGAAATCTGGCGCTCCAGCAGTGACTTGTGGCATCAGATCCTGACAAAAAAAAAGCTGTCTTTTAACATCGACATGATACACAGCCATTCGTCCCTATAGTTTAACGACGCTCGGTAGCATCGATAGGAAATGCAGAGGAACAAGACCAAAAGTTAAGCCGGCGAAAGTCCACGTAGGTTGGCGGGGCAGGGTGGTGGATGGGTCCCACAAACACCTACTTTCACCTGAGACAGTGGCGTTCACGTCCTGTAAGATTCTAAAGCCAAACCCTGTTCTTTTTGCCTAAACCCAACCACGTGCATTAGTTGTTGGAGATGAAAAAATGTCGATTTGCGTTGTTGTACTGATGTTTATTTTCAACGAGACTGTATGTAAATGGTAACTTTCCTGTAAAAAGTGAGGTGAGGCAGAAGTTGACACGGCATCCCAAACAGCGTCAACAACCAACGCACCCAGGGTACCTTTCATGTCCTATCTAGACGTAGAAAGTCCACGACCAAACATTGATATGTGACGAGGCCGGAGTGAGAGTGTTGTGCAGAGTGAGCACTCTTTACTTTAATGCTGCTCTACGGTGCAGACAGCTGCAGACACAGAGGCTTTGCCCTGTAAGACTCGGAAACAATGTTATCTTCTGCTTTCAGCTTAGACGTAGTGAATTTACAGTGCACAACAACTTAATACAATACAGTCTCTGGTTTCTCTTTGATAATTAGTGTTGCCAAAAAATGTTGGTGCACATTGTTGATCCGTCGGAAGCATAATTAGCTTGTTTAGCCTACTATATTATGTCAGAGTCAGTGTCACACTGAACGTCCCACTGAACTCTGATTCGACTGGTGTAATTCCATAGTCCCAATAAAAGTCTTCACAGTTCCTTCGTAGAGAGTGTGGTTCCATTTTTTGTGATCGTGGTGAACTGACCTTTTCAACTAAACAAAGATAAATTACTGTGCTTCTTTTAAAAAAAACAACAAAACAACACATAACAAGCTGTGGATAAACTACAGCTACAACAGCCACAGCTGTTTTCTTTTCAAATAAACATTACATTCTTCCAAATGATGTTTCGTTTTTTCCAATGCAGTTAATTTGTCACACAACATTTCATTGTGCCTGTGTGACTCCAAGCCTACAGCACAGTTAGTTTGGCAGTTAACTGCTGGCCCTCTGCAATAATCCTCACATGGTGACCACCTGAGCCTGCAGCTTCCCAAAACTCATTTGCTGCAAAGACCCTACAAAACGTGTGCTGTGAAGCGTCCGCGACAACTGCGTTTTTTTTTTTTTTTTTAACAGATGTGAGACCCATTTCACTCCACTCTTCCTGCCTATGACTTGTACTGCAATGCTCACAGTGACTGTCAGGAGAATAAGAAGATGTGCACTTGCATGTTTAGATAGGCATGACGCACAAACCGCGCTGCATATGACCACTTTTGTGTTCAAGCTGCAGCAAATAAGCCTGTGCTCTCACTCTCGGCGGTGCCATGTCACTTGTGTCACAGCCGGGAACACTCCTCACATCTGGCTATGTGTCTGGTCTTGTGCTCCCTCCCCAAAACCTTCAAACGGTGCCAAACAAACAGATGAGACTCTCGTGACACTCCTGTCTCCCTAACTTTAAATCACACACTTATTCGCCTTAAAAAAAGGAGGCCAATTAGGAGATTTCTAACAGGCCGTGAACAGCAGGGGTAAGATGGCAGCTGACCTGGATTAAACACTGCAGCCTGGCAGAGCAACAGATCATCAGGTCTGTACACACAATGCGACAAGAGGAGCACAACAACAGAGGGAGCTACAGATATGGTACCAACACGGAAAGACATGAATAATACAATCCTTGACTCTTGAGGAGGCGTTGGGAGCAGAGCAGGTGTCACAACTGCACTGTATGTCATACACATCCTTGACATTTTATTCAGTGATAGTGTTCAGATCATGAGAAAAATATATTAAATGTATATTTTTACAAGAGAAATTAACTCACCCTATCACCTAAAAGACACATCCTGCTTATTCTTGTTGGTGTTTGGCCATGTAGTTTTGGTTTTTACTCACATATCATACAGTTCAGCTGGACTGAATTTGTACTTCTCTAAAGCATGAAAACATTACAGTCAAAAAAAAGCTCCAAAGCGACGCATCTTGCCAGAAACAATGTTCTGGTTAACACTGGTTAACTGGTGTGAATCGTTTTAATTGAAGAAGCAGCCCCTAAGACAATGTTTGGTGGTAGAAATTTCAGACGCAATGATCCTTAAACCCTGAAACCACATGAAGCAAAAGCAGCTGCCAAGTAGCTAGCACAGGTGAGAAAATGTTCTTTTTAATTTGGTGAACAGAGTGGAAGTGGAAGGCGAGGGAAACAGGTGTAAACAAATTACACTCTAATAGTGATCCCAAATAAACTTGAAATGATTTCCCAGAGACGCAAAGCGAGGGGGAGACAAGTCAACAACGCAGGTTTAGAAATAAGAAAATCATCCGAACGAGCAAACCCCCAAAAAACATGTCACCAATACCCTTATACATTTATTAAAGTTATCATATAAAGACAGTCTGAGAGGAGAAATCCTATTTGGCCGACTTAAGAGAATTTGAGACAGTTTTTTTTTTTTCAAAGAGGGCCGACTGTGTCAATGAAATGCAGATATATGCTGGCTGGGAAGGGGGGACTGTGTTTGTGGTCGTGTGTGTGTGTGCGTGTGTGTGTGTGTGTGAGCAAGCACAGATTTCAAAGTCAAATGGAAGCAGTCGGGGCTAACACAGCTTGGCAGTTCAGGAATTACCCTGAACCAAGGGGCTAAGATAAAGCCACTCTGAGCGCATTAACACCAGTTCTGTTTTAGATGTGTAAAAAATAGTGTTATTTGTTGCCTGGAGGTTTACTGTAACATGCTTTCATGTTGCAGTGCAGCATTACAATTTAACAAGTCGTGTATTCAGATACACAAAGCTACTGAGAGCGTGTTCGCCTGCTCCGGAAATAAGGTAGCAGGAGGCAAATTGTCACCTTTCAGCCCTGCAACCGAGCCTCTCTGTCAGCTACGTCGACTCACCTCCAGAGCGACCACCTTCTTTCTTTCCATACCTCCTTCCTCCCTCAAATGGACTCCATTAAGCTCGGCTGACTCATTACATTATAGGCACTCAGTGGATTACTCCCCTCATTCCCCTTTCAGTTTAAACTCTTCACCAACCCTGACGCTACCACCACCACCACACCACCACCGCCTCTGCTGCCACTACCTCATCTCCAGTCCACCTCAGCTCTACTCACAGCTCCCTGCCGAGGTCCAACGAATTAATTAAACGATATTAAGTCCTAACCATTCCACTGGATTCTATCAAGTTGTCAGGGCATAAATCTAGCCTCGTGCAGTGTGTGTGTGTGTGTGTGTGTGTGTGTGAGTGTGTGTGTGCTGTATGGATTCCTGTATTTGATAGAGGAAGGAGGAAAGGACAGAATGAGACAAAAAAAAAGCAGAGAAAATGCTACAGATACAGCAAGACGGGAGTTTTTTTATTCCAGTTTGACATTCAGTGCAGCTCTCAAAAGAACATGCAATGTTGAAAGATGCATAAATATCAGACAGCCTGAGTTGATGTGTTGGAAAAAGTCGTCAACGCAAAACACTCTTTATGTCAGTTTTCTGTGAACAAAAGGTGCTATTGATATTCACCGGCCCTCCGTGTAGTTGAAAGGTACAACTAGCTCATTAGGGATGCTATCAGCCTTTCTTTGTGCCTCTCAGCATTAGGAAATTATTAATTCCTCACACTGAATAGTCTGTTGACTGTGGAGACAGCCAAATATGTAAATGGATAACATCTGGTCAGACTAACAAAAAATACAACATAGACACTTCAATTTATTTTCCAAATGTTCTAAAAATACGTGGTCTGGGTGGGAATGAATGATGTTGGGGCTTATCTTGCAGGCCAAACGCTGTGGAGAAGTTCCTGCTGTTTTTTCACAAAGTGAAAACATCACAGAGCCAATCCTTCTTTCGCTTAGTTTTTTTTGTACTTTTCACTTAGAACTAATCTGGGCTTTTTTGACCCTTTATCCGCCAATGACATCCGCTTCCTGCCAGATTAAAGTTTGGTGCCCACCACATGCAAACAAAGGTGCATCGAAATTTTAATATTTCACATGTACAAATGAGGATCTGTCAATCATCTTTTCAATTCTGGTCCCTGCTTCCGAAATTTAAAATAGGTAAAAAAAGTGGCTT